ATGTGCAAAATTCTATACTATTCGGGCTGATGTTACACGTTTGGTGCACAATAAAAAGCAAATCGTATGGAAGCTATATCTAAATTTTGAACGATTGTCTCCAATTTCAATAGGGTTCGTCCTGGGGCCAAACAAATGATTTGTGCAAAATTTCATCTGAATCTGGCAATAAATGCGACAGACAGACAGACGGACAGATGAACGGATAGACGGACGGACATGCATAAATCGACTCAGTATGTGATTCTATGCAAATCATCAGATTTCAGGGCAAAAATGTTTGTATGCGTGAAATTTTTAGAGAGTTGAATGCTTATTTCCCTTTTTTTTGAGTGTTATGTTTTTAAAAATCCTGAATCCCATTTGGGGAAAAACCAAAAAAAAAAAAAAAAAAAAAAAAAAGATCTCCACCTCCTTTATAACAGATTTTGTGTTGATAGAAATATTTAAATGTGCCAAGTTTGAATAGAATCTGATGTTAATTTCGCCTTTTATTAGCTTCATGGATATTCAAAAAATTTACCCATTGTGGGGGAGACACCAGAAGGAGTGGACCCTAATAGCGGATCTTGTGTTAGTAGATGTGTGAAATATGAAGAGAAGCGGAAGCTTATTTCGGATTTTATAATCGTTTTGGTTATTCAATCAGTTGACCCCCTTTGTGGGAGAGGTATCGGAAGGAATTGTCCGATCTCTACCTTCTTTATAATAGATTTTGTGTTGGTAGAAGTAATGAGATGTGTCAAGTCGGTATGGAATCGGATGTTAATTTTGCGTTTTATGAGCTTCATAGATATTAAAAAAAGAGGTACCAGAAGGAGTGGACCGATATATCTTCACATCTTCACACCAGATCTTTTGTTAATAGAAATATTGTGATGTGAGAAATTTGAAAACAACCGAACTCTTACAACACATTTTATAAAAGTTATAAGTATTTGATGGAGTGGACCGAAATTGATGCAAATATTAGGATTTGCAAAGTTTCTGTGAAGTAGAATATTTTTGACATTTAGTGGAGGAGGTAATGGCACGATGTTCAGGTCATTAGGACTGATATTGGCCATTTAGCGCACAATTAACCCGAAATCGGTTGAAGATATGTATGGCAGCTATATCCAAATCGAAACCGATCTTGATAAAATTTGGCAGAGGTATTTCTGGGATGTATCTGATATTTGGTACAAAACATCTTTGTTGTGGAGTGCATACTATGCATGTGAAGGACTTAAAACCCCAAATCGGATGAAATAAATATTTTTGGAAGCTATAGCTGTACTTGCTTCTAAACTGATTTCGGTAAGATGTACCAAAATTCAGATCATTGGGACTTATATTGGTCATTTGGTGCACGATTAACTCGAAATCGATTGAAGATATATGAGAGCTATATCTAAATCTCTAAATAACCAATTTTAGTAGGATTCATTCTTGAGCCAAGCAAATATTGTTTGCAAAATTTCATCTCAATCAGATAATAAATACGACCTGCATTTAGTTCACAAGAATAAATTGACCAAGGACCGACCGACATGCATATATCGACTCAGAAAGTGATTCTATGAATATCCTCAGAAATAACTATTGCACTATCTCGGTTCCTTCTCCATGTTACAAACAAATGCAGAAAGACATAATACCCTTATTACTATGTGGTGTAGGGTACAAATTCGGACTTGCGCGGACAATTTGCTGTCATAGGCTGTAGTAGGTACCGATTTATGGGGATTATACGAAGACGTGGACCTGTACAGACAATTTTCTGTCTTAGGCTGTACTATGCATTACGAACTTCAAATACCATATTTGAAACAATTCCGGTGAATAATGTCGCTAAAGTCATGAAAATACAGAATATCGGGAGGTACTGTTTTATGGAGGCTATACCAAAACGTGGACCTACATCAACCATTTTGAAGACCAAAAGTCCTGCAGACATAATATACACTAGAGTAAAATTTTATTAATCTACTTCATTTCGTTCGGAAGCAAACGGATATCATTTTATGCTGATCAAGAATATATATACTTTGTGGGGTCTAAAATGTCTATTTCGAGGTGTTACGAAACGGAATGACAAACTTAATATACCCTCCAATCTATGGTGGAGGGTATAAAAACGATTATAAAATCTGAAATAAGCATCCTGTTCTCTTCATATTTAACACATCCCATTATTTCTACTAACACAAAATCTGCTGTGAACATGGAATGTATCGGTCCACTCCTTCTGGTACCTCCACCACAAAGGGTCAAAATTTTGAATAACACTGAAGCTCATAAAACGCGAAATTAACATCCGATTCCATTCAGATTTGGTACATCTCAATATTTCCATCAACACAAGATCTGTTATTAAGATGGTAGAAATCGGAGCAATTCTTCGGGTATCTCCGCCACAAAGTATTTAAAATTTTGAATAACCAAAGCGATCATAAAATCCGAAATAAGCAGCCGGTTCTCTACAAACTTCACACAGTAACCCAAGATCTGCTGTGAATATCGGATATATCAACGCACTCCTTCCACCCCAAAGGTTTCAAAATTTTGGAAAACACAACTCTCAAAAAATGTGAAATAAACGTCTAACTCTCCTCAAATGTCACCTATCCAAGCATCTTTGCTAACACAAAATACTGTGATGAAGACGATACATATCTGCCAACCCCTTCTGGTACCTCACCCACAAAGGACCACTACTTCCGATACTTATATCTGTCATAACTTTCCACAAATTTACATATCTCATATAAAGCATAAGAAGTCGACGGTATAGTTTTAATATTTATACCAGATTTAGGTCAGATACGAATTTGTCAATATTGGCCAAGTGCTGCGGAACCGCCCCCATAAAGCGTCATAACTCAAGGCTGAGGCTATACATCTATCGGCAAATTCGAATTATACTATTTTACTTTCTAACACTAATTTCATAATCTACTGGGTTTTCCTGCAATTATCGAAGATAGTTGAATTTTGTCGAACAGTGTAATAAAAACAAGTAAGCAAAAGCTACAGTCGAGCGGGGCCGACCATTGAATACCCTACAACACTATAATAAATGATACAGTTTATATAGGCTAGATACTCGAAAGAATTCCACAAGATATTGTGACAAATAATAAAAGAAAACCATCAGGTTTCGTTCTCTAATTTTCAAATAATAGCAACTTAAGCTAATTAGCTCATTTCCAATTTATTGGTAGATGTTGCATGTAAATGGTCTTCCTAGATCTGGAACCAATATTTCCCAAAGACCTATAATCTCTCAGAAGTGGCAAAAGGTTAACCTACTTATTATTGGTTTTTGACTGAAACGCATCTATATGAGATACAGACATTTGATTATATTCTTCCACGAAATCAGCGTTAACGAAATAGTCAGAAGTGCGTCTTTTCTGTATTCGTGAATTCTCCAAAAAGTCGCTGGAATGGACATTTTCGTATTTTGTCTATAAAAGTTGCAAACTCCTTCACACATTGAATATTTTTGGATGGCCATCCGAAACTGCTTGGTTTTTGCAATGTCCGGTAACCCCCATTCAAATGTGCCTGAGGATCGGGCAATAATTACGACCTGCTAACAATTTTGCAGTTTTTTGGTCCATTTCAACCCCTAAATATATGGCGATCATCTCCAAAAAGATTAGGTATCTATTCTGACCCTCATCTTATCCCCATGCAAAATTTCATAAGGATCGGGCCATAAATGCGATCTGTATATGATATCCTGATATCCTAACTACTTATATACAAAATGAAAATATGCCAAAAATACGACAAAACTAAAAAAATAAGAGAAAATGTTACAAATCCAATATTTTCATCTTTAGAGAGATATTTTTATGTGATTTTTAGACGTTTTTTCTTTCCTGCCAAGAGGCCATTCTGAATTAATGAGAACTGTTGAAATCAGTTCAGCCGTTCTCGACATATAAGAGATCTTTCAAGCATATCTTCTTTGATATACATATATATCGCACATATTTTGCTATATATCCGATTTGTTGGATGTTAACATCAATGTAAAGGTCAGAAGTAACCTTGTCATGGCTTTGTGATTTCGACAGGATTTAAAATATAAAAAGAGCTAAAGAGTTGCTTCGTTTGGCCGAAAGTGGTGAAATTGTCGAATTTGATTTTCTCTGATGAGAAAACATTCGTTGTCCAGCAGTTTATAAACAATCAAAATGATCGTGTTTACTTGCCAAAGAGGTCAGCTGAAAATGTGCACCTTCGGTTGGCCACCAGAACTCAAGCGCCGGCCATGGTGATGGTGTGGGAGGCCATAACATCCGATAGTCGCTCTCCGCTCGTATTAATCGACTGTGCCATCAAAATAAATGCCGAATGTTATAGCGAAAATATTCTTGAGGGTGTATTAAAGCTTTGGGCAGGCAAATATTTTGGCCGCCATAACAGCCGATAGTCGCTCTCCGCTCGTATTAATCGACCGTGGCATCAGAATTAATGCCGAATATTATCGGGAAAATATTCTGGAGGGGGTATTAAAGCCTTGGGCACGCAAATATTTTGGCAGCAGACCTTAGACATTCCAAGAGCACACAGCACCATCACACTCAGCACTCCAAGAATGATTACAAAATGAGGTTCCTCGCTTCATTTCAATCGTGCAATGGTATCCAAAATCTCTGGATACCATTCAGTTGCACTATTGTGTCTGGAGTATTTTGGAAGGCAAGGTTGGCACTAAAAAATACCAAAGTGTCGATCACCTCAAGCAAGCGCTTTGCCGGCAATGGGCCAAAATACCGCAGAGCAATATTCGGGCAGCGTGTGACGGTTTCATTGGTCGTTTGAAGGCCATAATTCGTACCAAAGGTCACCAATTCGAACAAATCTAAATTTATTCTAAAATTTGATGCTATTTCCGACATTTTTGGCTTTCATCAATAAAAAAATATATGTAATAATTATGACCTTTGACTTTGTTGCAGTTTTTTTTTTATCTCACCCTGTAAACTCGTTTGTATACTCACTGTAACCTCCACCAATGTCCCAACTCCACAATAGACATACATCATTACAAAACAGTAGATCATATAAACATAACCTCCAGGCCAAGCTCCCAAGAGAACGCAAAATATCGTACAAATAATGCCAGTTGAATAGGTTGCAATTTGAACCAGGATAACCAAGAAATAGGTATCTTGGGTGACTGTCAGAAATCTGAAATAAGAGAGAGGGAGAGAGAGAGAGCGACTGTTGCTTGCATTGCAAATGTAGCTTCGGGGCTAACTTACACCATATAACGCTGATGGAACTTGATCACCTCTTTTAGCATTTCGGTGGATTTCTTCACATTTTCCTCGCCATCCTTCTCCAAAACTTCATTCAGATCGAACATTTTGCAACGAAGTATGCCTTGAAATGTTACGATTTGTGTTATCGGTGTAAAAAATGCCATATCACCGGCATAGAAGCCAAAACCGCCAACCGCTATAAATGAGATTTGCACAATGCATGTTAGGAAAAAGCCCCTGGGTGTTGTGTGATCCACGCCCGGTATCAGACATTGTACAATCACTTGGTTCACATCGAACACCAAGGACCGCACTACTGTCACAGCGGCCATACCGATGACCAGCAAAACAGCAATGAAGGCACACAGCTTCATGATGTAGGAAAGCAAATGGATTCCCTTGTTTAGGTGGCGCTGATATCCGGTATGTTTCAATTCGTATTCCTCATAGATGTCATAGAGCTCGCCGATCAAAAAACGAAAATTTTCCTGCTGCTGAATGCAATTGAGAAGTTTGACAAAGCCCTATGGAAAAACAATATATGAAAATGGTTTTAACATAAAATATGGGTATGAGTCCCACCTGTACCAAGGTGCCGGCACCAATACTCAGAACCTGTAGTATAATTTTCCAATCACCCTGCACAAAGAATCCATCATATATGGTATAGGACATGAAGACGAAGGTTAATATTATTATAACAAATACTAGTACAGTCCGGACATTGATGCGATAGTCATGTTCCAAAACATTGGCGCCACAAATATCCGCACAAATCTTGGTTATGCGAACAATGGCCTTAAAACGATCCGATTGGCGATGAGTCATTATCGGTGTTTGCCTGATGTTAAATCTGAAATATATTAAAAATTCGAGATTTAGTCTTTTATACCATTGAAGGAACTTGAACTCCGTTATATGGAGGCTATACCTAATTTTTTTTCATAGGCTGTAGTAACCATTAGTATCTTCAATTTTAAAAATTTGAAGTAATTCCAGGAAAAATGTCGCTAAAATCATTAAAATTCCGAATATGGGGGGGGGGGGGGGGGGTTACCATTGCAAGGGACCGATATCGTATATCGTGGGCCTACATAGACAATTCTCTTCCACGGGGTGAAGTACTCAGAAGGGACTGCTTGTGTGGTTTTTAGCCAATTCCATTTGAAAAATCGGGGGATATACGATATCTTAGACCCATATGGCTTGCCCATATTCGACGGACCTTTGGGCCCTTTGGGCCCATTCCAATCGACGAGGCATGTCCGCAGGCAACATTCTTTGCGTCAATTGAATTTTGTACCAATCAATGCGAATAATCCGTTGTAAAGTGGACCGAGCCATGCCCAATTGCTGAGAACGGCGTTTTTGGGATGTTATTGGAGACCTCTCAACACTGGCACGTACGGCAGCGATATTCTCGGCCGATCGCCTTGGTCGACTTTTATATGGCCTCTTCGGATTAGAAGGTGCACTTCTCACATTTTTTTCACAATTGACTTCTTCTGTTGAATGTAAATTTCAACTATTTGAGAGCGCTCGCGTGGCGTGTATTGGTTCATGGTAAAAATCTGCTTGGACTGACGCTTCAAACGCGGTATGTCATTAAGCGATGTGACATCTCTGTCAAAAGTTATGGCGTTGCCAGATGGGTCCATCGAATATGGGCAACTATGTAGACAATTCTCTTTAAGAGAATAAAATGTCCTCATACAACTCTTTGTGTAGAATTTCAGATAATTCCATTGAAAAATTTAGCTAAAATTCTCAAAATTCCGAAAATCTGGTGTTACCGTTATATGGGGTATGTAAGATATCGTGAACCAATAGAGCTCATTTTCGAACGTGACCTGCTTGCAGATAAAAACTGATCTGTAGCAAATTTTAGCATCCTATCTTAATTCGTTTCGACTCTAGCGTGTGGTAAATCGTCTCGGAAATTTACTCTGATAAAAAATATACAGGATGAGATGAAAAAACTGCAACCAACTTCAGACTACTGTTATTTTTAAGCCACTTGTCCGACAGCTGTAAAAATTATTCCAGTCAAAGCTCAGCTCAGATCAGCCTTTATGCGTACAAAAGCATTTTATTGAGAATTTTCCGCAGAAAAATTTATTCGTGATGGAATTCAAGCGTGATAGTGTGATTTATTTACATTTGGCTGGGAAACCATAAATGTATATCGTTTAAGCCCTCCTCCATTTAAATGTGAATGAATCTTTTGTGTCTCGTATCATCGCTCTTTACCGTGATACTGGTAGCGTAGCCCGACGTCAAGGAAGTGGACGGAAGAAAACAGAAACAGCAACATCAGCAGAAATGGTTCGAAAAGTAAAGAAGCGACTTGATCGAAACCTGCTCGTGAGCTGAACATATCACAATATTCCATTCGGCAAATATTGAAAAATGAGCTCGGGGTAGAGCCATTAAAATTCGAAACAGTGCAAGAACATACACCGCAACAGAAAGAAAATAGACTCAAAAGATCTAAAGAGTTGATTTGCTTTGGCCGAAATTGGTGAACTGCCGAATTTGGTTTTCTTCGATGAGAAAACATTCGTTGTCCTCCAGCAGTTTGTAAACAAACAAAATGAGGTCAGCTGAAAATGTGTTTGCGCCAGCAGAATTCAGGCGCCAGCCATGGTGTGGGCCGCCATAACAGCCGATGGTCGTTCTCCGCTCATATTAATCGACCGTGGCATCAGAATAAATATTATCGAATATTATCGGGAAAATATTCTGGAGGGTATATTAAAGCCTTGGGCACGCAAACATTTTGGCCGCAGACCTTGGCCAATAAAATTAAAAAAAAAAATAAGTAAAAAAGCTGTAAGTTCGTACGGGCCGAACTTTGAATACCCTCCACCATTTGGTACAAATTTAACAATTTTCAAAAAAATCATCAAATTACCGAATATCGGGGGTACCGTTATATGGGGGCTATACGAAGACGTGGACCTACATGACTCATTTTCTGCCTCAGGATGTAGTATGCATTACGAACTTCAAATACCATAATTGAAACAATTCCGGTAAATAATGTCGCTAAAATCATCAAAATACCGAATATAGGGAGGTACCGTTATATGGGGGCTATACGAAGACGTGGACCTACATGACTCATTTTCTGTTTTATGCTGTAGTATCTATTACAAACTTCAAATACCAAATTTGGAACAATTCCGGTGAATAATGTCGCTAGAATCATCAAAATACCGCATATCGGGAGGTACCGTTATATGGGGGCTATACGAAGACGTGGACCTGCATGGCCCATTTTCTGTCTTAAGCCGTAGCATCTACTACGAACCTTAAATATTCATTTTGAAACAATTCCGGTGAATAATGTCGCTAGAATCATCAAAATACCGCATATCGGGAGGTACCGTTATATGGGGGCTATACGAAGACGTGAACCTACATAGTCCATTTTCAATACCAAAAGTCCTGCAGACATAGTACACATTTGAGTAAAATTTTATCAACCTACTTCATTTCATTCGGAAGCTTGAGTGATTTCAGACAGACGGATAGACAAACGGACGGACATTGATAAATCGACATAGAATTTTATGCTAATCAAGAATATATATACTTTGTTGGATCTAAAATGTATATTTCGAGGTGTTACAAGTGGAATGACAAACTTAATATACCATCCATACTATGGTGGAGGGTATAAAAATGTAAAAATTGTGGCATTTGACTTTGTTGCAGTTTTTGTTTATCTCACCAGAGTTTTGGTATAGTCGCCATATAACTGTGCCCCAAGAAATTCGGTATTTTGTGTTAGACTTTTCACCAGTATTGTTTCAAATATGGTATTCAGAGTTCATCCTATAATAGAAAATTTCTCTCCCAGATCTTGTGGAGAGTGAACTTTGTATAAACTAGCAAATCTGGCATTGAATTTATTACATTTCTGATCTCTATCAAAACTTTACAAAAATATTTTTATTCTGCTATTCATTTCAAGAATCTATAAGTTTTTATTTTATTATTATTTATTATATTTACGAATGTATTACACTATATATTCACCTTATTTCCCAAATATCTCAATTTATATTCTGATATCTATAGCTGATGTGGAATGACTAATGGCAACTGGTGTTATATAAAATGTAATAACTTCGTAATTGTAAAAGAATGTCATCGGTGTCGGCAATTAAAAACTAGTTCCAGTTAAATTGACATTTAATTGCATTGCAATTATATTTATTTTCTTTAAATAATTATCATTACTTTGCGTGTGGTTTTCTGTTTGCAAATATACCCAAGATCTGCTTTTTCATGACCTTGGAAGGGACACCTGTATGTGACATCGAAGTGTATTTTATAGTACAGATTGCATGACCTTCAAACCGTTTGAGGTCATCAGTACAAAATGTCCCTGTTTCAAAGCGTTTTATTCGATTTAATTGTCTACTGGAAGGCAGTGGATCGATATATTCCATCTACACTCTACAAACCAGTAAAGAAAGTCTTAAAGTCGGGCGGGGCCGACTTTATGATACCCTACACCACTTTGCTAATTTAGTAGAGCTCCGCATAACAATTAAATGCTTTTATGGAAGAATTCAATCATACACCCTATGACTATAATTATAATTTAAAATTCAAAGGACTAAATATGCCGAAGCATTTGTATCTTTTAAATTCGAACTTGTATTGCCCATTTGGTGCACAATTTATTTCAAATCGGATATAGATATATATGGGAGATATATCCAAATCTGAACCTATGTCGATAAAATTTCACAATGGTCTTTCTGAGCTGTATTTAATACATTTCCCCAAATATTGTTGTTACAGAGTGCATATCACGGCTGTGGAGGACAAAAATAACAAATCGGATGAACAATATATATGGGAGCTATAGCTATATCTGAACCGATTTGATCAAATTTGGCACACTTATTTTCAGGCCTAATTTGGTTGTATGTGCAAAATTCCATACTATTCGGGCTGATGTTACACGTTTGGCGCACAATAAAAGGCAAATCGGACGAAGATATATATGGGAGCTAGTGATACTAATGCCAAACTTTAGTCTTCCAACTCAATCCTTTAGCAAAATAACAAATTTAGTGCCATATAGAACTTTTTAGTAATCATTATGCGGAATTTTAAAACCGTTCACACAATACTAAATTGAGTACCTTTTAGGACCATTTGTACGTTTATTGAACGCATGTCCAAACCCAACTCTTTATCATAACCCTACCTATCAGCAGTGACATTTTAAAAGTCTAGATCTCTCCGTTCAACCCAATCCAAATTGTATCTAATTACCAATTTTACCAAAGCCAATTGTACAATTGTTGTACCCCTTGTTCACCTTTCCAAAAACATCTTCTTAGATCAACACTAATTTCCACACGTAATTTTTAAACCAAATTACAAGATTTCGGCTGTAACGTCCCAAAAGGTACGAAATGTAATGTTTTTAATATTTTTAGTACACTTCTCACTTTCGAAAACTACCTCTTGTAATTATACCCTACACCACAAGGTTGTCAGGGTATTTTGTCTTTGTGCATTTGTTTGCAACAGGCGAAAGGAAACGAGATAGACCCATAGTTCCTTTTGATGATCTGCATAGAATCACATTCTGAGTCCGTCCGTCCGTCTGTCTGTCTGTATTTTTGTAAACAAAGTACAGGTCGCATTTATTGCCCGATTCAGATGAAATTTTGCACAAATAATTTGTTTGACCCAAGGACGAACCCTATTGAAATTTGCTTTATATTGTGCACCGAACTTGTAATATCATCCCAAATAGTATGGAATTCTGCACGTACGACCAGATTGGTCCTGAAAATTAGTATGCCAAATTTGATCGAAATCGGTTAAAATATAGACATAGTTTCCATATATATTGTTCATCCGATTTGTTATTTTTGTCCACCGGAGCCGTAATATGCACCCTGTAACAAGGATATTTGGGGAAATATTTCAAATATAACTCAGAAATACACTTGCTAATAATTAATATTTGGATGTAGCTCCCATATATATCTTAGTCCGATTTGCCTTTTATTGTGAACCAAATGTGTACTTACGACCAAACTGAGTCTAGAAACCAGTATGTAAAATTTGGTGGAAATCGGTTCAGATATAGCTATAACTCCCATACATATTGTTCATCCGAATTGTTGAATTGGCCCTGCATACCCGTAATATGGACTCCGTGGTAACGATATTCGGGGAAATATATCAAATACAGCTCAGAAATACCTTTGCCAAATTTTATCGAGATCGGTTCAGATTTAGATATAGCTCTCATATATAACTATCCGATTTCAAGTTAATTGCGCACCAAATGAATAATACAAGCCCGAATTAAAAGGAGGCAAATTCCTCGAGAAATTTAGTAGAAATCGATTCAGAGAAGAAAATTCGTCCCATATCTAAGTTCCTTTGGAGTTTTATTTATTTTTTATTTGTTATGTGAAGCTCTACTAAATATGCAAAGTGTTGTAGGGTATCATAAAGTCGGCCAGCCCGACTTTAAAACTTTCTTTACTGGTTTTCTTGTAATTTAGGAGAATGAACAATAACAAACAAAATTAAGTTTGTTAAATTTTTTAACATTGCTTAAAATAAAATAAATTAATATATTGAATATAAATATTAAATCGTATGGCATTAAATAATATTTCATATAACATACACAAAAAACGAAAGGTGCATTTCAATTGCCTCTTGGCGTTATTTCCAAGAAGAGTGACTATATATTTAATCCTCCTTGTCCAAAAATCTTATCAACATCATTGCAATCGAATATATCGTTTTGGTTACTCTTAAACCGGTGTTCATGGACAGGGGTAGCACCGATCCAATTGTTAAGCCACTAGTATTTTGACACAATATCAACATAATCAGTAACGATTTTCGATCTGATGCGGTGAGTTTATACCAAAGTATATCTTCGTAGCAGGCTTCGATGAAACCATCATTCTACAATAAAATAAAAATAACATTTGAATAAGGCAAAATAAATAATTAAAATAAAATTGACAGCGAGATACCATAGAGTGAACTCCACTTGAAGTCTGTTATTTACACTTAATTTGGCTTTGGATTTTTTTTTTATATTCTCTATTAAAGATCCGATATTAGAAAAAATAAATTTTGCTCAAAAAGTGCAAATCAACCCGTAAAAATCCTTAAAACTGGAAATCAATGCAGATCAGAATTAGTTGTCTTACAGAATCTGGAATATATTACTCTTAAACGAAATCTTAGTAAAATTTGCAGCAAAATGATGAGAGGCCGCACGAATATGGCTTTCTCCTTCCTCGTTTTACTACGTAAATTTTTCCATTATTATTATTATTATTATTATTATTATTATTATTATTATTGTTATTATTATTATTATTATTATTATTATTATTATTATTATTATTATTATTATTATTATTATTATTATTATTATTATTATTATTATTATTATTATTATTATTATTATTATTATTATTATTATTATTATTATTATTATTATTATTATTATTATTATTATTATTATTATTATTATTATTATTATTATTATTATTATATTATTATTATTATTATTATTTATTTATTATTATTATTTATTATTATTATTATTATTATTATTATTATTATTATTATTATTATTATTATTATTATAATTATTATTATATGGCTTATGACAAGAGTTGCCTATGCAGAGGCACGTTTTCGTATAGACCCCTCTAAAACGACTATATTCGGTATTTTTAAGATTTTAACAGAATTTTTAACGGATTTTATTTTTTTGAAAATTGCCAAATTTGTTCCAAATGGTGGAGGGTATTCAAAGTTCAGTCCGGCCGGACTTACAGCTGTTTTACTTGTTTAATATAAAACTTCCAAAATAGAAATATAAATATCATACCTCGTATAGAGTGATTTTCATAAAACTTGTACTTACTGCTATATTAACCATTGTTCCAACGCCACAGTACACATACATCATAACAAAACAGTACAGCAAGTAGATGTATCCACCAGGCCAAGTTCCCAAAAAGATACAAAACATCGAGCAGACTATGCCAACAGAATAGGTGCTGATCTGGACCAAAATTACCCAATAATAAGTCTCTTGGGTAGTTTTGAGAAACCTTAAAAATAAATGTGTAATAATAGCTCATCTATACATACAGCGGAGTAGAATGATGAAAATTCAAGAATATATATATATATTAGAGTTTCCAGACGGACTCTCCCCGAATTCGAAAGAAAATTGCATGAAAATCAAAAATTTTCCGTTTGATATATTTATACCCTACACCACAAGGTGGTCAGAGTATTATGTCTTTGTGCATTTGTTTGTAACAAGCGAAAGGAAACGAGATAGACCCATTGTCTTGATGATCTGCATAGAATCGCATTCTGAGTCGATTTATGCATGTCCGTCCGTCCATCCGTCCGTCTGTCCGTCTGTCCATGTATTTTTGTAAACATATTACAGTTCGCATTTATTGCACGATCCAGATGAAATTTTGCACAAATCATTTGTTTGGCCCAGGGACAAACCCTATTGAAATTCGAGATAATCGGTCAAAATTTAGATATAGCTTCCATATATATCTTCGTCCGATTTGTCTTTTATTGTGCACTAAACGTGTAATATAAGTCCGAATAGTATGGAATTTTGCACATACAACCAAATTAGGCCTGAAAATAAGTGTGCCAAATTTGATCAAATCGGTTCAGATATAGCTATAGCTCCCATATATATTGTTCATCCAATTTGTTATTTTTGTCCTCCGCAGCGGTAATATGCACTCTGTAACAACAATATTTGGGGAAATATAACAAATACAGCTCAGAAATACATATGTTAAATTTTATCGAGATCGGTTCAGATTTGGATATAGCTCCCATATATAACTTCGTCCGATTTACTTTTTATTGTGCACTAAACGTCTAATATTTGTCCAAATGGGATGGCATTTGGTACTTACGACCGAATTGAGTCTAGAAGCTAGTATGTCAAATTTGGTGAGGATTGGATCTGATATAGCTATAGCTCCCATATATACTGTTCTTCCGATATGTTATATTTGTTACGCACAGCCGTAATATGCACTCTGTAACAACGATATTCAGGGAAATATATCAAATACAGCTCAGAAATATCTTTGCCAAATTTTATCGAGATCGGTTCCGATTTGGATATAGCTCCCATATATATTTTTATCCGATTTCAAATTAATTGTACACCAAATGGGCAATACAAGTCCGAATTTAAAAGATACAAATGCTTCAGCATATTTAGTTCTTTGAACTTTAAATTATAATCATAGCGTGTATGATTGAATTCTCCCATAAAAACTTTTAATTGTTATGCGCAGCTCTACTAAATTAGCAAAGTGGTGTAGGGTATCATAAAGTCGGCACCGCCCGACTTTAAGACTTTCTTTACTGGTTTTTTCATATTTTTACGAGATTCGCTAGAAATACCGAAAATGATATAAATAGATATACCAACGCGAATTCGAACTACACATTATCTAAAAAGCACTTCAATTGTGAATCCATTGAACGGATTGAGCTAAAATCTTAGAATTCGGTATAAGAGTTTGGAAAGTAGGCTTGATATAAGAACTGTACAAATGGTACAATTTGGTTTTTGCTTGAAATGGTAATGGGTTGATATTGGGGGCACTTCTGTTAGGTAGAGTTAAAATAAAGAGGTGGTTTTGGAAATGCATAGTACAAATGTACGAAAAATACTTAATGGTTCTAAATTTGGTATAATTATAGTACGCATTTCCGAAACCACCTCCATATGTTCAGACTATACATGAAAAGCCATCAAAATACCAAATTTCAGATTTCGAGCAATATCTCTTTACTCAATACCAAATATAATATTTTTCGTGTACTTACGGGGTGAGATAAAAAACTTCAACAAAGTCAAACGCCGTAATTTTTACATACGGCGAAACGCTGGCTTGAGGTAATCAACACTTTAATATTTTTAAGTGTCAACCTTACTTTCCAAAATATTCCAGACACAATAGTCCAACGGATTGGATTCCGGAGATTTACCATTTAGTACTTTTCGAAAAATTATAGTACGCATTTCCAACCCCTCCTCTAAATTTCAACCTCAGATGCCAACAAGTATCTAAACATGATGTAAATAAATGTTAATTTCAGAATTTCAGCTATGTAATTTCCCCCATTACCAAATTTAGTACCAATAAGTATCTTCCCTCAACCACAGACACCAAGAAACCACATTATCAAATTTCAGGATTTTAATCCCATTCCTTCACACAATACCAAATTTGGTACCATTCAGTAATTTTCGTTCAAATATAGGACTCATTTGTAACCTCTGTCAATTCTTAAACACAGATACAATCAGTAATCTAAATTTTAAATTTCAGAATTTAATCTCTATCCCTTCATCCATTTCCAAATATAGTACCATTTAGTACTTTTCGAATAATTATAATATGTACACATTTCCATAACCTCCTCCATATCTTAACCGCAGACAGCAACAATGCCATTTATATTAAATTTCAAGATTGCAGCTCTATTCCAATACCAAAATTATTACTACTTAGTACTTTTCGTACAATTATAGTACAAATTTCCAAAACTACCTAAACACAGACACCAACAGTTGCATCTATATCAAGTTTCAGGATTTTAACTCTATTCCTTCACCCAATACAACATTTAGTACCAATTAGTATTTTTCGTACAATTATAGTACACATTTCCAAAACCACCTCCACATCTTAATCCTAGATACATACCAACAGTACCCTTAATATAAAATTTTGGGATTCCAGCTCTTTCCTTTCATTCAATACCAAATTTAATACAATTTAGTATTTTTCTAACAAAATAAGACGCATTTCCAAACCATCGCCAAATCTCAAACGCAGACACCATCAGTAATCTAAATATCGAATTTAAGAATTTTTCCTATCTCTTCACCCATTACCAAACTCAATACCAATCAGTACTTTTGGTACAATTATAGCACACATTTCCGAAACCCCCTTTGAACTTTGTATCAAATCAAATATCAGAACTACTTTCCAATCCTGCGTCCTGCGGAATAAACTGAGTAAAATTTTATCAGTCTACTTAATTTTGTCCATAAGCTATAAGCTAGAGTGATTTCCACAGACGGACATCGTTTAATCGACACAGAATTTTATGCTTATCCCTTCATACTATTCTTGATTTATTAAATATTACTGATTTGTACTATAACCGGGAAATAACTTCCTTCATTAAACAATTATGGTTCATTACACCCAACAAATATTTCCCGACGATCATCTAAAATGGTGGTCTTCTGCCCTGTTCATAATTTAATTCCCATGCATAATGATGCCACGAAATGCAACTGCAAAATTTGGAAAATTGTTCTACTTTTGGTCCATCTCATCTTCCGTAAAATTTTCGATCAAATATCTTCCATTTTGATCCTGTCCATATCTCCATGCAAAATTTCGAAGGGATCAAGCCATTATTGTGGCCTGAAGGGTGATTACAAATATACATGGACTGACGAACACACATATCTAGATCGACTCAGCTTGGCGAGAAAGGGAGATCGATATACCACATGGTGGAACTAGGACCATTATTTCGAGTTGTTTGACATTTGTGGTTGTTCGACTGACTTAATAGCAACACCTCAACATTTTCCATTTTGCAATTAATAGCGCACGTGGGAACTAAATGGCATTGTTTGCAAACATGACACAAGTGATTGAACAATTAAAGTAATTTATCTTGAGGGAAATTATATTTTTGCTAGCAATTTGCAGTTTCGAACAATTACCTTAAACATTCACCTTTCCCACCATACACGGTAAAAATTCAAACAAAAACAAAATTCCGACTAAAATCGTTACTGAACTAAGCGAAAATCTCATTACAAAATAAGGAATTTATTAAGTAAATTTTGGCACCTATTGTAAGATAAGGTCAATACCCTCGAAATATCTAATATTAGTTGTATCACCATGCCTCCTACATTCGGTATTTTGTCATAGTTTTTATATAATTGTTTGAAATTTGGAGATTATGTTCCTAATGGCAGAAGTAACACAAATAATGAAATTTTGGGTATAGACATTTCGCTTCATCTTTTTTAGTTGTTTGTTACTAAAAATCTATAAAATCGAATTTCGCAAAAAATATCCTGCGCGGGACAAAGCTAATAACAAATTTTAAAATTCTAGCTGTAGCACTGCAATATTTAATACTATATTTTATATATTTGTACCTTTGGTGACCTAAATGCGAAATTTTGCTTGCCGAAATTGCAGATTTCATGTATTTTACGCACCAAACACGATATATGTATATGTCCGATTCCAATGAAATTCTGAATGTTTGGCGGAATTCGATGCAAAAATTACTATTTTCGGTCGATTCCAATATAATTTGACAACATTTCTTTTTGGACCAGATTCCGTCATACCTTCCATATTTCATTGAAATTGGAGATACATAGTGTATTCGGTGTATAAAATATAACAGATACACCGAATACGCTATATATCTCATATGGAAATATGAAATATGGAAGGTACGATCGAATTTGGTACAAAAATAAATGTTTGTCAAATTATATTGGAATTGGAAGATTGGGATACGATTTTATTTAGAAGCACTGACCCAGAACGCCTTTACGATGGTATTAGGCTAACAGCGAAAAACTACCCATCATTTTAATTGAGGATACTGTTTTTACGGGGAAGTATGTTGCCACATCGAATCCTCTAATCTCAACTTCAAAAAATTGCAGTTTCCTGTACGCTTGGCATTTGCTTTAATATTAATAAATCCGTAGGACAAACCCGTATATGCGACCTAAATTTGTCATGTAAGTGCATTTCTCTTGATCAGCTGTCCCTGGCATGTTCATGCGTTGGTAGACCGAGCAATTTGTTTGTTTTTGTACCCTCCACCATACATAGTATGGAGGGTATATTAAGTTCGTCATTCCGTTTGTAACCCATCGAAATAATCATTTTAGACCTAACAAAGTATATATATTCTTAATCAGCGTAAAATTCTAAGTCGATTTAGCGATGTTCGTCTGTCTGTCTGTCTGTCTGTTGTAATCACGCTATCTTTC